TAAAACCAACAAAATATATTAAAAATAAATTAAATAAGTGTAAGTTTAAGTCTAATTAATCTTGAGGATTCTTGTCTCCATGGAGAAGCTATTGATTTGTCATGAATGTTCCATAGTATGGCATTAAACTTAAACATCATCGTATTTACTTAATTACATGTGTATTAATAGCAAAAAAAAAAAAAAAAAAAAAAGCAGGTTTACTTCTAGGCCTGTCAAAATAATTACTATATTTACTTATCGTTCACTACATGATAGATGGAACAATACTTTTTGGGGGTGTCAATATTTATTGTTAAAGTACTTTTTGTGGATTATTCAGCTTTGTGGTATAATGGTTTATGTATATTTACTGCAGCAATATATATCATACTTCACATATTGTGACAGGTCTACTTACCTCTACTTACAGATGGAGATAGATCGCTTTATTGCCATACTGTTGAACATTCCACGTAAAGAAATAAGATCTGTGCTTAAGGTGTCATCACATGCATTTTTTCATCCATAACAAAATAAATGTAACAACCAACCATGTACTGAACTAAGAGGATAAGTTGAATATTAATCTGATAATATCTTGTGTAAATACCAGCTGCCGCGTTTGTATCTGAGTCATGGTGGGAGTGTGAGTTTTGGCTCCAGCTCTAGATCCAGACAGGATATGATCAGCAGACAGCGCTTACAAAGGTGCTAGCTTGTGTTACCGGCTCAGATCAGGTGTCATCCTCCATAACCGTGCTCCTCAGACTTATCACTGCTGACAGAGGCTGGGTTCAACACTGTTTTAATGCTACTGGGGATCAAGATTTACCATTAAAATTGAGCCCACAGGAAAATTATCTCTTATTATTGTAGAAATTATCTCCAATTGTTTTCATAATTTGGCATAGATTTTACAGTTGTAGCCCTCAGTAATGCACATTTGTTTGTATTTGGAGCTGGCTTGTAATTGGTGTGTCCAATATCAAACAATAGTATACCAATTTTTAAAAACTTTTTCTTCTGTTTTGTTATTTTAGAACACCCTATTTTTTCCAGTTATTTATTGCAATTCAGGTCGTGCAAATTCAATGAAGAGCTTAAAATGGTACACAGGTAAGAACTGAACAGACAGAGGTTGAAAATAAAATAAAAGATAAAACACAAGTCCAAGCTCTGCCAAAACTACCTCAGGAAAAAAAGAACAAGATGGTAAAGTTTGAAAACATGGAGTGTCCAGTACAGTCTCCAGACTTAAACCCCATCGAGCTGGTTTGGGATGAACTGGACAGAAGAGTGAAAGCCAAGAAACCTACAAGTGCCACACATTTATGGGAACTTCTGCAACAGACTTGGGAAGAACTTTATGAAAAATATTTGACTTCTGTTGTAAAAAGACTGTCATGAGTGTGTTCAGCTGTTATATCTGCCAAAGGTGGACATTTTCATGAATCAAAAGTTTAGAATACGTTTTGATCAACAGTAAATTTTAAAGAACTGGACAAATTTTGACCGATGCAGTGCAGTGCTCCTCAACCTCTTTGGCTCCATGGACCGGTTTTATGTCCAACAATATTTCGAGGACCGGGGGCTGCAGTGGCATGGTTTAGTCCAGGTTTAGTCCAGGTTTAGTCCTGGTTTAGTGCTGGTTAAATCCTGTTTAGTCCTGGTTTAGTTCAGGTTTAGTCCAGGTTTAGTCCTGGTTTTATTCCTGGTTTAATCCTCTTTAAATCCTGGTTAAATCTTAGTTTAGTTCTGGTTTGATCCTGGTTAAATCCTGTTTTAGTTCTGGTTTAGACCTGGTTTAGTCCTGATTTAGTCCTGGTTCAGTCCTGGTTTAGACCTTGTTTAGTCCTTGTTTAGTCCTGTTTTAGTCCTGGTTTAGTTCTGTTTTAGTCCTGGTTTACTCCTGGTTTAGTCCTGGTTTTAAACCTGGTTTAGTCTTGATTTTAGACCTAGTTTAGTCCTGGTTTTAGACCTGGCCCAGTACCACATGACCCATGACCCATGGTACCGGTCCACGACCTGGGGGTTGGAGACCCCTGCGGTTGTGGATAGAGTACATATGTTGCATTATTCACTTGTACAAAGATAAGATGAGCATGAAACTAAACAAATTACAAAGGCGCATTTTGTAATGAAAACTTACATGAACATCCCATGAACCTTTTTAGTTCAATCAATACAATCAATGGACAGACCATAACTGAGTCCAGTCCAAATATTAAAAAAAACAATTTTCTGTCTTGTCTTGTGAGAATTGCTACTCAGATTATTACTACTGTCTATTACTACTTACTTCTGCTATTCCAATGTACTATTTTCCCAGATTTTAGCCCCCGGCCTTTGAGTTCAACCGGTAAATATTACAGCAGCTATAGAACATAAAAAATCAATAGTTATTAGACAAACTGCCATATTTGTGTACCAGCGTGCAAAACCTCCATAGAGATGCATAAGTCAAAAAATATTAAAACGTAAACAAAAGTTGCTCTGGGTTGCTACTGGTAAATTTTAGTATATACAGAACATATAGCATCTTAAATTCCTCAGTGGGCTGACTGATTTGAAATGTCGTAGAGTATATGTATGCAAACGTAATGTAACTTAGGTCATTTGAGTTAAGCAAACAACATCTCTATAATTAAATCTATGTTGACCTGAGGCTAATCCTGCCAGCATACATAATTTCACAGATAATCAAATGTTGCAAGCATTTCTATGGCTTGAATAAATAATTAATAAGAGATTAGTAGCTGTTTATTTAACATAATCTGACATCTTGAGTTCAACTGGGAGCATGAGTCAATTGCCGGGTCATTGCTCCGTGCTGATCTCCAGCACTAGGTCAGTATTCCACACCAGGCTACGCTAGAAGAACATCTCCCCCCTCCAAGCAAATTAAATCACCTCTGTTTCAGTTTCCAGGCAGGATACGGCAAGTGTTTTGATGTAATGTTGGCATTGCGTGCATGAAGATGTTAGAAGTTGCCTACAGAGACAGAAACCTCAGCAGGGAGATGGTCCGTGGAGGTTAAGAGGGAAGTAGGGCATGAGATTGTGCAGCCATGTGGAGGCCAGGCAGGGTGTGTGTGTGTATGTGTGTGTGTGACTCCTAGAAACAGCTCTCTGATGCAACACAAACTGATGCCCGCCTTGCCTTTCTCTCCCAGGGATCTCACGCGACTCCGGGAAGTTGTTTACAAACACCTGCTAGCCACAAACCCAACACAAGTCAATACAGTGCAGCTAACGGCAAATGCAATGTTATTATAGCCTGTGATGGGAAAAGAGCCTTGGAAAAAATTGCACATGTACTCACTACAATAGCTGTTATCTTTCTTTTTTTTTTTTTTTTATTATTCAGTGCAGTTCAAAGATTGCATGATCAAGTACCACCATAATTTTTTTTGATTTGAAGAAAATAGCTGAAGACATTACTCTAAATTACCATTCTGAATATGTATTTTCAATATATTTGTTGCTTCCGAACACTGAATAACATGTGTGAAAGATAATTACATGAGATTAATTTATATACAAAAGAAACTTGTACTAATCAAGGATAATCTATAAACAAACATAACATGCACTGCTGGACAGTTAAGACAGAAGTGTTTAATTTAATATGGATGTTTCTAGATAGAGGTAAAGCCACAGAGAGATGATCCATATGCATTATTTATGATGTAGAAGCATGCTTTCTCCTCTTCTGGGAGCTGCCAAATGGCCTAAATGATTTCTGCAGACATACATTCAGATGTTAATACAGCACAGAGTGAAGCGTGCTAATGAATAACTTAAGTTTGTTATCTTAATGTACACACTAACATCAATAATGTAGGTCATACAATCTTCTGAACAATACAATAGAATAACATTGCATATACATGTGTTGTAATATGATAAGTTTTCACTTTCATATGTTTCGTAACTTATATTAGTGTTCTTGTGCGTGTCTTCTTTGTTGAATGTATAAAGGTAAGTTGCGACTAGTGCTCTCCTCTCAGCCCATTGTGGTTGACAGGAGTCAGTCATGCAAAAAGCAATCAGGGATCCAATAGCACAGAGAGTAGAATCCAATCCCTCCTCCTCCGCTCAGCATCCCTTTGGACACTGTGCAGGTGGGACATAATCAAAGTTCACAGCATCATTAATTCATGTGGGACAGAGAGAGCTGGCGTTCCTCTCAGTGTGGATAGTGAGAGACTATATCTCTGGGAATCAAGCACAGAGGTAACTCAGTTCATGATTACCAATCAGCCTTTAATCAGCCTTTAGTGCTCTTAAAACATTAACATACTAGAATTCATATAAAATGTAGATACAGTCTGACAGACATTAATCCGATTTTAGGTCTATAAACTTTGGTGTCTAAAAGGACGCCAAGTCTGAGGCTTTTGCCAAAATTGCTATTAGTAGATGATAGCATGGCAGAGGTGAAAATTTTAGCACTTTTCAGTTCTACACATTATTCTCATGAATTTGTTACAAATAGCCTATGACCAGTCTGTGTAAGGTAAGGTGGATGATGTGTTTCATATAACGTGAGGTCCATATTGTGATTGGTCAAATCTTTTTCTCTTTTAATTGTAAAATATTCACAATGGTGTTATTTTGACCTTTGGGTAAAAAAAAAAAAAAAAAAAGGTAAGTGATTTGAGTGTGAATTTATGTAGCGAACAGTAGTCTCGTGACTGCTGATGTCTCTCACAGGACTGATGTCCGGGTCAGTCTGATCTTTTGAGGCTTTAAGATGACTCGTTGTCACATGTGCTGAAGCGTCGCTCGTGTGTATCCAGGCTTGGGTACAGTACTGTGACAGTGACAGTACTACACAGTAGCGCTCGGGCTGTACTGTAGTAGTCTACTTCCGCGGTTGTAAAGCTCGTGCTACGGGGAATTTCCCGTCCACGTGCGTGAAAAGTGTGTCGAGAAGGCGGGATCAAAACAAAGCCTCTGATTGGTTCCCGCGGCCGTATGTAAATGAGCCTTAAGGAGATAAAGCTGCTGTTCGCTGCCACAGAGGAGAGTTGGCCGATAGAAAATGTCTTGTCTTTAACTGGGCTTTATTTACTAAAGTTTAGCCCCGCCCTGGCGGCGGAGTCACTCTGGAGCTGACGTCGGCGAAATGAAATCAGCCGCTTGCCTTTCTCCTCACAGAATGAAGTTGTCGTGGGGGTGATTCGGACTAAACTTTTTGATGCTCAAGGATATGAACTCAATCCCATTTTTCTGACTAAAGCTGTTAAAAGAAAGCCTTTATTTGTGGTAAGTTAAATTGGCCTACTTATATTTTCTCTGTTTGTTTATATAAAATCAGACACATTTTCTTGATAGTTGTAGCTAAAGTCCGTATCGGCGTATGACAAACATTCGTGTGTTTTACTGCCTCTTGTAACAAAAAACAAAATAAAACAAACAAACAAAAACATATCTTAACAAAAAACATGGATGTGTATACCTTACATTGAATTCTTGGAGTAGGAAACTACCGGCATCGCTGTTTACAGACCGGTGCGTGAATGACTCGTTGCTGCACTTGTTACGCGCTCTTAACAGCGCTTAACAACAAACACGCTGTCACGCACACTTGTCACGCACATCTGCTTCACACTTTACACCGTGTGTGTTAAATTAAACAATTGTTATTATCAAACTCTTTGTTCTAACGCCATTACATTGGTGTAAAATGCTTGTAGGGTAACAATAGGCAAAGGTCATTTTGGTGTTGTTGTTGTTTTATTGTTGTTGTTTGTTTTTTTTGTAGCGCGGATTTAACATGTCGCTTTATGCAATTGTTTAGTGATATATGATATAAGTAGTGATATGTTTCACCCCTCCTCTTTTGTTGGGGTTATTTTTGTTTGCAGCAGGGGGAGCCACTGTCTGACAAACACTGTGGGACAGCAGACTGCGTACTGGACAGTCCTATCTGAAAATTGTGTATGTTCTATTTTCGCGGGTCTTCCATGTTCTGACTCTGTGTTTGTCAAAACAAAGCATGAAGTGGTTTTGGTTGTATGGTTTATTGAGGGCACAGACTGTAGCGTGAGTTCTGGGCATGCTAGTGGTCTCTGCTTAGGCTGGGTGAACAAATGAAAACTGTGCTGGCAGCCTGACAGACCGAGCCAGGGAGAGTAACTCCTCACACACTGTCATTACCCTTTGGCTCAAGCCCGCACTTTAACTTTGCTGCTAGTGGTAACCCTATATTACAATTCAATGGCAACGTGGGGCTCAGTTGCTGGGGAATCTTCCATACTGTCCTTATTTTGATAAATCCTGTAACCTTGCAAGAGAGTTCAGGTTGGGGGAAGTTTATCCTCGACTCTTACCACACAGTCGTGATGCTGCCTTTTGAAACTGTCAGGTGATTTTATTCTCATAGTCAGTTCTGACATTTGCATACAAAAATTTGATTCATCACATACGATGTTGGCTCATGGCCAGATTGCTGCTTCAATAGCAAAGAGTCCGTCTCTGATTTGACCCAGTGAGCCAAACCTTCTCCGGTGCCTGACCACAGACAACAGTGCGGTTTCATCACTGAGATGCACACATCCATTTAACTCAATTCACTGTGGACTCGCCACAGACTCGTGAGGGCCGACCATCTGCTCATTTTCCCCCACCAATGTGACCAGTGAGGTTTTATTGATTCAAGGGCACTCATTATGAAGCAGACAGGTTGTCTATAATCAGAAACAAGAGAATGAATTTATGATAAATGTTTGTGAGCTCATTTCATTGACTCCTGTGAAGGACATTTTAACAGATGCATCATTAGCAGCTACATAACTTTTTTCATCTGTTTATACAAGGCCACTCAGCGCACAGCGACCCCGCATGGAGGATGAGGAGGATGATGTGTTTGAGCCAGACCTGCACTGCTGGCACACCACGTTCAGGCAGATAAAGTGTGAAGACCGGGCCACGCAGACACCCGGCCCTGCCCTGGCCCCCAACAAAGGCATGCTTCCCTGTGGAGTGGCAGAGGAGCCTAGACCACTTTTTTACGGTACGCTCTCACTCACATGTTTGCTCAGAGCAGGTAAAGGGAACATGGCTTTGTGCGTGACTACTAGTTATAAAACAGAAGCGTGCTTCTCTAAAGTGAGATAGTGTGAGAAAAGTGTATCTGTGTTGTTAGTCTGATCAGGCCTTGGCGCCTGATAGTCGAGTTTTTATGGTCCACATAGAGTGTGCCCAGCTGCTTTGCCATTCAAAGGGCGCCAGCCTGGCACTATGACTCATGGGAGGTGACAGTAGTGCTCACCTGAAACACATCACCAACTGGATAAAAGATACCACTGTCCCACTCTGTCCATTTACAAATGTATGACTTGTAGAGCAGGGTCCAAACTACAAAGGAACATGTTAAGAAGTCTATAAAATAAAACAAAATGCATTGTTGGGACAGTAAAGATGTATCATCTAGGCATTTATGGCTGCATGATATATATGTCACTTAACAGGCAACGCAGGTTTTCGATTGCACTTCCCGGCACATTTTGAACTTGGTGAAGATCAGGAGGCAAGTGGATCACTACAAGAGAGAGAGATGCAGAACGGGAGGGAGCCACTCCCCAGACAGCCTGTGGCAGCGCGCAGCATGGAGGCCTGCATTGGCCACAAACTGCAGCTCATAGGAGACCAATTCCACCGGGATCACTTACAACGGGTGAGACAGCACTGGCATCACATGGAGATTTGAACAAACTTAAAGTTTAATGTTGAGCCAAAAAGTCAAATCTCTTTGTTTTGTTTCTTTTCATCTTTTTTAAAACTATATACTAAATAATATAATAAACTATATATACTATATAGGTTCAAGTACAGAAATATGGTATGTGTTTTAAGTAAGTTAGTTTTAATGTAAGTTACCCATGACCATGTGAACCACTACCACAACCGTTAAACCCACAGTACAGCAGACTTCATTTGTTGTAGTGCGTTGTACTTGCCTGTTTGTTTGGGTGAGGTTGTGCATGTGTACAACTTTATCCCTGCATCAGCCCCCTCTGCCTCTGACAAACTGAATCAGGACGGCCCTTCCCCCACCCTTTGCCAGCTCGACCCCCCTCCCCCTGCCTGCTCTTCCTGTTTATTTCTCTCTCTTCTCTCCTGTTTCCCTAGGCAGGACTTTGGGAGGATGCTTGGCCTTGAACAAAACACTAGAGCTGTTCCTGCTTTGTGTTTAGTTTTTCTTGATTAAACCTGTTGCACGATGAACATTACACTGGTCGTTTTAGTGTTAGACGCAGGAGAAAGCAGAAGTGGCGGGAGAAGGTGTACGTGTTGTAACCCGAAGCTGAGTGCGTGAGCCCTGAGGGAACAGCTGTAGTTCCAGGGAGTCTCTCATCAGTCAGAGACAAACAACAGGCCATTATACACACTACTTACACTACATATGACTGAAATACATCCAAACAGTATTAGTACAGCATGGAGCTGGTCTGTGGACAGAACCTGTAGAGACACACAGACTCCTGATTGCTGCACTTATCAGACTCTTCTATATGCAGGCTGCACACAGCAATATGACTCATGTGTTGTGACACCAGCATTAGACATTAGACATGAGACAAGCAGACAGAGTCAGACTGCCGGTCGGAGACTTGTTGTGTGTCTGGGCTGTGTTGACGTCCTGCTCACAGGGGTTGCTGTGGGAGGAGGAAGTGGTCTGTGGGCCGGTGCTGCTTGAGTAAATTTCACACAGGACAGCGTGGTTGCCTGCTCAGGCTCTGTGATGTCATACGGAGGTGACTTTTGAAGACAGATAATGTCTCTTGAATAATCTTTTCAGCCATATTTCCATGCTGTGCAAATGTTGTGTTTGAGCAGCTGTAGTTATTTTCTTGCTCCACTGTTGTGGGTCTTCTGTGTGCCAGTGTTAGCGTTGGTCTCTTCTGTCACAGGCTGATTGCCCATATTCAGCAGAAGCACTTGTCCCTGAGCCCTCGGAGTGCTTTGCTCGGCTCTTTTCTTGATAGATTTGGGAGCACTGTGCCTTTGAGTGTTCTTCATGAGGCCCGTGGCCCTTGGCTAAAGCAGGGATTAAGTAGCAGAGCAGAGTTGGAGGATGCTGACAGATAAATTGCTCCTCGTCAGAAAGAGCTAGAGGGGACTAAGTTCCCCCAGAGGAAGGCCCAGCCATTTGAGCCAGGCCAGTAATGACAGTCACAATGGCAGGAAGACTGCTGCGCAGGGCCGCTCCAGAGTTGGGTTTCATCAGTGTTTTTTTAAGGGACGAACTCTGATGCTTTGGATAGGAGGTGTTGAAAGCTGTCTTGAATATCACTGTGTATAAATGTGTGTGCGGAGCTTTATCTCTGCGCTGTTGGCCTGAGGGCAGGGCTCTCTCTCTTCAGCCCCTAAACCTGCTCTTAGAAACAGCTGAGCATTAGGAGCATGACTGTTTAATCAGGTACAGTGTAGATGGTGCTCAGCCTTAGTGCTACACTAGTGTGCAGTGCGTGTGTTTCTTACATCAGATAAGCCTGTGTTTGTATTTGGCTGTGGCTCCTCCCTGAAGTGACTAACCCAGTGTCTGCTGCAGAGGTTAGCTGCTCTGTTTGTCCTGACTGATAAGGCTGTGCTTCTGGGCACCCTGACAGACAGACGCATGGATAGTGATAAAGCACACCAGGCCAGTGTCACTGTGACGACAGGAGCATCTGCGCTGGCTCTGCTGCTTTATCAGGGGCTAAATATAGACTTTTTCTGACAGCTGCTGGAGGGACTCGTGACTTGTTGTGAAAGTTCTTCACACATTTCTTAATATGACTCTGTCTTTGTTTGTGCTGATGATGCTCTCTGGGCCTGACAGAGTTGAGGCCTTAAGGTCAATGCCACAAAGCACAGTTTCTGCTTATGCAGATTATGCAGATTAATAACAGTTACACCCTTATAGTAAAAACACATGCTTCATAAAATGTGCCTCTCACTCAGAGCCGCTCTGCTGCTCTGTTGAAGCTCCACTACTCCATGACATAGGTTTGAACATGCACATTTTTCATATCTCCTCAAGTCACTTTGATAATAACTGATTCACCATCTTATCCAACCTTAGGCTAGGGTTTGTTTACATCTCGATTGTACTTTACTCTCCCAGTTCAGTGAGAAAAGACACACAAACAAAAGCATCTACGCTTATGCAACAGGGTGCAAATGTCAACACAGTTTATAAGGGAGACTACGGCTTATCACAGTTACTAGGTCAATGCCAGGACACCTTAACAGACACATGCTGTATCTAAACCCAGGGACCTTCACTAAACAATTGGAGGTCAAGAAGGGGTCATGACCTTGCCTGACTCCATACTTGTGTTTTTCTTCTAGTTGATATAGTCTGAAAATAAATCCAGTGTTATGGGACAGGATGGAGTCTGTCTTTCGTCTGCACGCAAGCTACTACTGTACTTGTGATACACACAGTCCATGCCTCTGGTGAAGAGCTCTCTAATCCCATTTGGACCAATTATCTTATCTTCACTTCTCCAGTGCACTGATAGTATTATCCCTCTAATCACACACAACCCAATTGGCTCACAAACCTGGCTGAGAGTGCCTCCTGAGCGACTGCTGCTCACTGCCAGAAACATCAGCTCAAGTGTGACCCAGTGATGAGTGTGTTTATAGCCGGGGATGTCTGAAGGGAAGCCCACATTGTGCTTGGACACTAGGCCTTTCTAATAAGTATTGTCAACGACTGGACAGACTGTTGACAAAACACTAGCCATGTTCCGCTGTCTAGTTCTGTTTTCCTGCCTCTGTGAATCAAGGGTGACCTGCAAATATATAAAAAATTCTCATAATTCATATTAATTTTATTCATTTTCAGAACGCATTGTCAAACAGAGTAAATGCTATTACAAACGTATATATGTAACACAGAAACTATATCTTGCATTCTACACAGCACAAGCATGATTTCTGGACTAATTAATGTTTACAAACTTGTATTTTTTTGTTTTGTAGTATCACCAAAACCAAAGGAACCAGGGCCCAGTGTGGTGGCGCCTGGCTGCAGCTCTGCTCAGCCTCCTGTTCGACCGCGGAGGACGAGCGGCAGCGGGGCAGAGGTGAGACTGCCCCCTCCTCTCTGTCCCATACGAGGAACTGGACTCCTAATGGCACTGTCTTATCCAACACGGGTTTGTTTTGGAGAGGAAACGAAAAGAGAAGGTCACCGCGGGACGGAGACAACCAATTTTTATACTTTTTTTGTCTTTCCAAGGCGATGCCATGATGTTCTGAGATTCCCCACAGGACAATGTCAATATTTTGGTATACATGTTGTGTAGAAGTTTTGTATAGTACTGAATGATCTTTTTGCACTTCAACACGTATCCTCTGCAGACCCTGGGAATGCCTTATAATTCAATGTCTTCTGCCAGAAAGAGTATTGAGCAAAAATCAAGAAGAAAGTTTTCGGTTGTGAAGTCGTCCGGGTAACCAGTCGAGTTGATTTACTCATTTTTCCAAAGACTCCGAACAAAGCATTTTGCACCTCAACCATTCATCTGTTAATTTTTGTGTTGTTAATTTTGTAAGATTTCTTTATTTTAACATTTTCTTGGTATTTTTAACATTCAAAAACACTGGGAGCAGAGAGACGTGTATTATGCCTTTAAAAAAAGTCAACATGCCATATAAATACATGGACATTGGCCTTCCACTTAGTCATGTGCTAGAGTATCGGGGTGGAGTCAGCGTGAGCATCGCTTACTGGTTAAACAAGCCTGGTAAGTGCAGCTGTACAGTCAAGTGGCTAATATTGTCAGTGTTACAAATCCTTATCAGCAAACAGCCTTTTCTGTGAGTCGATTGGGCACAAAATTTTTTGACTGAAACTAGAAGCACAAAGAAGCTTTTCACAAAATTACACAAGGCTAAATCTGCGAAAATGTTACCATCTCGGATAATAACGTCGGACCAGTGTAGGCTGTATTGTCTCTTGTGTTTTTTACGATTGTTCTCAGATTTTCATGCCCTTTGAGTGGAGCACTGGATCCACTGTTTTTGCACTATACTACTACACATCCTTCAAAACAGATTGTTACCCAGCGTACCTCTGTCATTATGAAGGTAGCAGTTCTTATATAAGTCTTATATCTTTTTAACACATTTCAGAGCCTCAATATTTCTGGGTATGTCTTCTGGCGATGTCTGAACACCAAACGGATAGCAACATGTGAACTTCCCTCAGGCTACTGTTTTGTAACCACCAACTTTACATTTGAATCATTTGGGATTTGCTTTGTTTATGGTGCTCAGATCGGATTTGGGTATTACAATCACCATAGACTATTAGATTATTATATTAATGTTAAGGACACTGTTGAAAATACTGTATATTTTATCATTGCCCGGCCAACTTGTGGACCCATGGAGCAGAACATATCAGGGCTCTTCATTTGCTCCAATATAGTGTCATGGTTATCACTGCGTAACAAGGATTTTTTTTTCCTCTTGAAAGACAGGCTATCTCAGGGACAGATTTTGCAGCTACTGAGAATCCTTGAGAAGCATTCACTGTTTGCATGCAAGCAGAGAAATGTTTGCCTTAAAGGTGCTGTAATGGATTTTTACTGTCTAAAAACATAAAAAACAAACTCTGGTTGCAGCAGTCCAAACTTATTCCTCACTTTCTTAACGCATTCCAGCATCCTAATTATTCACAGCGATATAAGCAGATTTCACAACTTTCAGAGGCCAGAGTTGGCAGCATGCAACTTCTAATAACAACTAGCATGCTAACAGCACACCTGGGTTACTTCCTGGTTTGTGTTAGATGAAAAAATGTTTGATTGGCGTTCGACACTATGAAGTTAGGTCTAACAGTAGCACCATTCCTCGCATTTCTCTCTGCTTGTAAGCGTATAGTGAGTGAGTGAGGAGGAAGAGCAGTCGTTCCCAGTCCATATTGAGGGGGAGGGGAGGGGGAGGGCTGTGGAGGGCTGGGGGGGGCCTTCGGAGCGTGTGGGGGAGGGGAGGTGTGAGGTGCACTGAATGATACGGTTGTGGTTATAGTTTCCTGCAGATCCTGAACGCTGAGCCAGTCCAGGAAGCCCCTCCCCTCACCGCAGCCTCCTCTCCACTTCTTCTGAGATCATTCTTTATGTTGGATTACTTTTTTCTCTTGTCTAACTTATTTTGGTGTATTTATTTTGTATATCGGCCTGTTTCTCTCTACTGTATACTTGTGTGTGCAATTCTTCTGTGTCTTGGTCTTAGCTGGTTGTGTGGAGGCCAGCGTTGTGTCTGACACCCTCTGGCCCACTCCTCTCCGTCTTACTCATATCCTGCCCACAGTTTAACCCCACTACACCAACAAACAGTAACGACAACAAACAGTCATTTTCAGTAATAGTGACGCCAAATTGTTCTACCTCTGACTGAGCTTCACGGCTTTGAACGAGAGCAATAGAGTGCCATGGACGCAGTGCTTATTGGGCGACTGTTAGCAGACAGTAGTGGGAGTCCGCTCCGTAGTTTGTGTGATACTTGAAAACCAATAGAAGCACCACAGATGAGACCTTTGGGCTTCAGGGTGACTGTATATGCAGGAGTTTATACTTTTTGACCCAACCAATGCAAACATTTAGTTTGTGGTATAGGAAAGCAGTAGTTTTGATGCAGTTTCATGCAATCTTGCCTTTTTAAAGACACAGTAGTTGTAATGGGGACATGATGATGACCGTTAAACCATGAAAGGTTGCCTTCAGAGACTTTAAACATTGAATCCTATGGTGTTATTTGAGTTTGAACCTTGTGTTGTAATCAACATGCACTGGAAAGTATGGTTTGTAGATCCCATGGGTCCATATGTGTTGTGTTAATGTATAGTATATACTCTGGGTTGTTTTCTTTAGGCTCGGTGCCACATGTCAGTGGTATATATTGTGCATTGACCTGAGAGACTGGGCCTGTTTGATTGATTTAAAGGGAACACACCACATGGTGCCCTGTGTATTCTGTAGTGACGTTCCCATACTGCCCTAAGAACAGCCATCCCTGACCGGGACATGTATTTATGGAAACCGTCAGTGTCTTGAATTTTGTAGTCCAATTTATATGCATTTTTGAGGAAGGTTTTAAATTAGATTTTTTAAACAATAACATTTCTTCTTCATGGTCTTTCTTAATGTTTAAACATGTATTTTCATAAAATGGTCTGTTTTTATAGACAGTTCAAGCTTGTACAAAGGCCATGTGACCAAGGGCATTGAGTATAGTAACTCACACACATTCCCTGCACATCACCATGTGGTTTTCACCCTTTACTCTTGTGGTCACAGTGAACTGGTTGAAACAGTGAACACGGGAATATGCCTTTAACTGCTCAGTTCTACAGTCTTGATTATCACACACTCTCTGTATACCAAGAAATGAGACCCAGCGAACATGTAGCATTTTTGTAAACATTGACTGTGTGTTTTCGAGACTCTACTGTGCACTCATTTTTGTGTTTTTATATATTTTGGTTGTTAATATTATATGGAAGACAATTTGTAATGTAGTGCAATATGCTGTACATACGGAGCTTTGCTCTACAAATCTTTTTTCAGGATTTCTTGTTGTTTATTGGTACTTTTTTTCAATAAAACTTTATTGAAGGTGTCATGTTTCCTGACTGTTTTTAAGCACTGTAACACCAGTACACCACCTGACATAATCCATGAGCCAGGCCTTTTTCATTTATGGATGTTACATGAAGACCAGTACCACTCCCTTCTGTTCACTGGGCCAATGAGAAGCTGTACCTGCTCTCAGACAAGGGCAGAGTAATGGATTTGATGCTCCGCTCTCACTCCTGAGTGCTGCTTGTGTTTGAGGGAGCATTAGCCACTAATGTATTAGGCCAGTACCTCAACCACTGTAGACTGTTCTCACTCCACAAGCTTATCCAGCTGTAATACAGCCCTTTACTTCTAGTCCTAACATATTTCACCAGACTAACCTACGCTCCCTGGAGGCATGGGAGTGAGTGTCTGCCTCTGACACTCCTAAAATTTCATGTGTATAAACTCAAACATGTCCCTGTCCCGCACACATCACTCAGAACCACCCTGCTCATACCTGCCCGCCCCTCCCCCCTCAGGGCAGACACGTGGCACCTCCATTGTGCTGGCTGCTGGGTACAGTTGCAGGTCCTGCCCACACCTGACTCACCTGTTTGTGTGCTGCGGGTGACAGGAGCCCCCCCTTTTCTCCTCTCTCCCCTCTCTCCTCTCCCCTCTCCCCCCTCTCCCTGACTGAAACATGTACACAATGACAAAGGATGTGGTGGAGAAGACGACCCTTTCCCCAGACACACAGAGCTGACGGGGCACAACGGTTGAGCACATTGCTCGTAATCCTCTCTCTTAAATGTTCAAGTCCAAAAAGCTCCAGGCTTATGACAGCTAATTAACACAGCTATTTATACAACTGCCACAACATACAACATCAGGATCATATAGCTGTACTGGTAGAAAGGCATCATTGAGCTTATATGTAAGGATGTACATATTTCAGTTTATTTAAGTTATGTTACAAAAAGTAGTGCTAGACTAGAAACACAAACCTGAAAAGTGCCAGTGTTTTTGTTGGTAAAATTCACCTTAAAAAACCTGCATTCTTACTGTGAGCTGGGTCACCTCCCCACAAATATGAAGCTGTAACTTGACTTGGTAGCATCAAACTTGTCTCTCTGGAGATTAATGCGATATAGTGGAATATTTGTGGCAAAGGAATAACAACTCCATGGAAACATTTTACCAGAAAAGTGGCATTAAGTAACCTTTAAATGATACATTGAGATCACTACTTTCACAATTTAACCACAACACAAGTTAGCTTGAACCATAGATAACATAATGTGAAGAGGTCACTCAGCTCTATGACAGGATATTGCGCTTGAGGACCAGAACAGTGTAAACATAAACCACTTTTATCTTGCTCAGGGATACAACAACACTGAATGCTCATTCAGATTTGGGAAGACTGATTTTGGGTACCCAAACTTTACTTCTTAATCTGAACTGAATCCAAGTGAGCGATCCAAGTATAATAATGTTTATATATGCTATAGAAAAAAAAAAAGAAAGAACTATTGACAGTTAATTCAGTAGGCCTACACAACTGAGTAGAAGTAGTTGACCTTTTCAAAGCTAAACAACCACTGGAACGCTGTGCGCCCCTTAACTATTGTGACACTATCACCACACCTATTATGGCCAAAGTGTCTCTTCTTGATTCAGTAAGTTGTCTTGCATAAAGTGCTGCCTCCACTATGCCTACATAGTTCTGTTCTTGTCCAGTTTAGCCCAGTGACAGTTTAGAAGAGAAAGGCTTTTGTGCCAAACTACATGTGTTCAGCTCAAAGGGCTGCTGCAGTGTTACATTGGCTGATATAAGCCTTATTTTTAACCCTGAGGATGTCCCTTTCCTCCTCTGGCTGCCCGCACTCAGTTCCAGAGTGTAACAGGGAGAGCAGTGGCTTTCCCTGCTCAGAACAATGGCTCCAGTGTTCCCAGACCCGGCCGCCCGCTCACAGAGACACCCATTAGAGGAGCGTCTATCTCTGAGGTCAGCCCCATGGCTCTCTCACAACTACAGCGCCTGTTTATGTCTGCCAAGCCAATCAAAACACTGCAGCCCACTACTACAGCTTACACTGCTAGCTACAAAATAATAAAGAAATGATTACATTTGTAATGGTTAACAGTAAAATTAAATAAATAAAAAAAGTAAATGCTATTAAATAAATAAACAAGTTACATAGTTACTCAAAGGTAGGGTGACAAGGCATCCTTATGCCAGTCCTACTTTTGAACCTTGTGTCCCCTGTCTGAGCAGATTTATCCAAAACCAGTCTTAGTTTTATACAAGAAATGTCCCAGGTATCCCTATTTTTGACCAATCTGATCCCTGCTGATAGTAAAGAGAAGCATAAAGTGTCCTTTGTTTGGGTAAAATACAGAAAAGCTGCTTAAAAATGACCAAAACACAAAGAAAATGTGACTATACTGACTCACATTAGTGTCGAGTGCAGAACAATTTTCCTTAATAAGTCACTTGTTTCACAAATTTCACCAAATTTACCAAAGACCACAAACCAGCAGTGTCCTAGTTTTTATTTTTATTTTGAAAACCTGGTCACCCTAATTAAATCTATGTCACTTTTTTCAAAGAGATTTTATTGCCTGAAATGTTCCACCCTTTAGCATTAAGCAGGTTATGCCATCAGGCCAAGTTACATGTTTATGGAGCGGTGACACTGTTCATAGTCAAAATTTTGCAATAAAAATGCAAATTCAATAAATGCAAATTAGATATGTTTGATAGAGTACTTTCCAGTCACAGCAAAAGGTCAGAAAAGTTCATTTTAAGATGTCTTAATTGTTTCTTTTTGAGTCTTCATGACAAGAAAACTTTTTAAAAAGCATATTGTTGCTTCCCTCCTCCCATTCTCTCCTCTGTCAATGTTGCCATGGCGAGCTTAGCCCATGCATGTAACAAGGTGTGCGTCTGAGATAATAGGAGCTTTAACAATAGTCTGCCATACTGTGCACACTTTTAATCCTCTATGATCTGAACAAGTGAATTCTCCAGCGCGTTGTCAAACATCTTGTTCGTGTATCTGCTTCAAATTTGTCATCGTGACTCAAAAGACGGCTTTGCTTTGTTGATGGTTATGTTCTGTGCTACAAATCGCATGTCTGAGCTGAAAGGTTTATCGCCAAGTCAAACAATAAGGATAACATCTGCTCCCTCCCCTTCTCACCCCTCCACTCCATTCTGTGTGACAGCACCAAAACACTCCGCCAGCAAAGCACACAGGTTCACGGGGGGGGAGCCAAGCACGGGGGAAAAGTTGAGTGAAAACTATACTAAACTATATTTAATTACTATTTTTGTCAGGTAGTTATTTCTTCAGTTAATACCTTTATTTTGGCGATCTGTAATACCTACAACATCTGTACATAACAAATCCCTGGCACACGTAAAAGTTATAAAAAGTCCAAAGTCAGTTCTTTATATTTCACTATTGTTATTGTGGGACTCTACCGCTCCATTGTGTTTTGGACATGCCCAAACATCTCCCCGGGATCCTGGTGGGGATATGTTAAACAGATTAGCTGGCTCCTCCCATTATGATGGAACAGCAGCTCTACACTAAGCTCCCCTCAGCAGACTAAAAATACTCTAAAACAGTCTTAATGATTTCAGTTTACACACAAACTCATATCCAGCTAAAAAAAAAATAAAAAAATAAAAAATGCAAATGTGGTCCAGGGCTTGACCATCCCAAACAATCATTTTCTATAGGATGTCACCACAATGTGTTTTTAAATGTTCTTTATGTTTATTTCTTAACCATTTTGTATTTGATGTGTTCACTTTGCATAAACGTGTAAAAGCACTTGAACTCATTTGGACAGAAATCCTAATGTCACAGCTGTATGTCTTTGCCAGTGCCAAATTTGAACACTCTCTCCTCTTGTTTGCGCACACATCTGGTGTTCTGCTGTCATGCGAACAGGCGGCTAAGCTAACAGCGCTGCGCGTTGCTGTGTGCAGAGGGGAGGGGCCCGAGGAGCGGGGCCAAGTCATGGAGCTTCAGCCGGGCATGCCATGGGCGCACTCTCCCTGCCCCCTCCCTCTACTACTACTTCTGCTATCGCTGTGACTTGAGACAGCTGAACTCTTCTGGCAACAGACTCTTGAGTCTGACCCCCACTGACCCCTGCCGAGCTCCTGTCACAGCTGGGGCCAAGAATCAATCTGCTAATGCTTAATGTCAAATAAACAACTTTCTGACAGCCATCTTGTTTTGTTTATGCTCTATGTTCGGTGTCTCGTGCTGCACCGCCTGCCTTCTTTACTTTCTCTATTAACGGGAGGTTGGGCAATCTCCACGCACACAGCTCTGCGAGTTTGCTTTGTTTACCAGGAGCAGCCCAGCCGAGCGCGGGGCTTTGTCGAGCGCTATTCAGTGGAGCCGCACAGCTGTGACACACACACACACACACACACACACACACACACACACACACACACACACACACACACACACACACACACACACACACACACACAAACGCACACACAGAACAGACATCTGACTCACAAACCCTGCAGTATCCTGTGGTCAAGGGGAGGGATTTAAACCCTCACGGCGCAGCACATGAACCTGCTGAACTTGTCTTCTTACTTCTCCTGCTGGCTATTGTTCCCCCAACTTTTTTTTTTTTTCTACATCTCCATACAAATTAAAAAGATGCACCCTGGAAGCATGAACCCAGCGTGCGTCTGCCTGTCCCTGCGTGTAAAAATCCATGAACCATCGGAAAAAGACACAAATGTTCTCTAATTATGATTTGGGTTGTCACTCAATACACAATACATAAACAACTAGGGTCATTGTTGGGAACTAATTGGCAAGAGGAATAAAAAACTTGTAGTCAGCATGGTTTCCTGAGGACACAGAGGAGCAGCGCACACTGACACAGCCTGAGGTGCACTATAATGAGAGAAGCCCACTTTTCCACATGTGTTCTGTTAAAAAAAGGGCATGGTAAAATCCTCCTGGTTGTAAAAGTGGACCAGTTCAGTGGGTGCATTTTGAGTGGAGC